AGATTAAAAAAACATAAAATTCTCCCAAGGGTGTGGGATACTAGCATGTATATATATATATTTATACTTTTTTATAATTTTAAATTTTTTTAAATATCATGGAGACGATATCGAACAAAGAATCGCCATGGAAAATCATTGTATTAACATTTTCAACCCAAACTAAACAAATAAATTGTTTATTATATAATTGTACGTGATGGATAAATACTACTGACAATAATTAATTGTATTAATATTACGTCATATACCTTTTTACCTGTATATTTTTAAACCAAAAATAAACAAATAAATTGTTTATTGGTACCTATATAAGCGTATATATCTTAAACCAAAACTAAACAAATAAATTGTTTATTGGTTTCCATGACGTTTAATTAATTATATTAATATTACGTCATACTTACCTGTATACCTCTTGTTCTCATTTCTGAAAAATCTACTGAGGAATAAAGAAACATGTTTAGATTTTCAAACGTATTTTATTAGTTCTTCTTATTTTTACTTATATATTATATATACAGGTGTATGGATGATTAATCGTAATATTGTACGTAGTTTTGATTTTGTTGTCAAGTCTTATTAAGTCTGATTTTGAAGACATCCTTAAATGGAGCTAACTTGTGTTTAGTACAAAATCGAATCGAATTCAATGAATCAAGTAACCAAAAATTAAACCAGGATGTCAACAAATATAATGTTTAATCGAATTTATTTCTAAAGAACGTAAAATCAATATTGATTGCCAACTTTTTTCAAAGTGTGGAAATCATCTATTCATTCTCTAAGTACAGTATATGATCAAATATTAGTTCTGCAAAGTTTATCGAACTCCACATGCAATATATAGTTTCTTCGAAATACCTTAGTTTTCTTAAAAAACATTGTTTGATTTGTAAATATTTTAATAAGCGATGCACTTCCCTACATAGGTTTGGCAACATTCCCCTTATAGGTTTATAAGTGTTTAAGCTCCTCTATGTTTGACTTTTTATTTCCATAACCTGCAAAGAAAATACTGATAATAAAGGCGGAGATGCAATTTGACTCTATTTCCTAAAATGCAATAAAACAAAATAAACTGCAATAAAACAAAAAATGATGAAAAATTTGATGTACTTTTGGAAAAGGTCATTCAAGTATTAACAGCCTCGTGTATATCAAGACGTCATGCTATTCTCAAAGTAAAACTTTATGCGACTGTCATTTACCAATTGCAGGCTATGAAAATAGAAATAAAAAGATACAGAGTCTTTTTCAAACACGTAAATCTATATAGGGAAAATGTTGCTAACTTTATCAAGGGTACATACATTAAATTAGGCCTCTTGGAAATCCAAAATTAATCTGCAAATTCATAGTGTCGAATACCATATTTAGAACAAAACATCCAATAATATAATAAATGAATAAAGAACAAGATTCTATGAGTCATGGCCGATGCATAATATGACAGATTCTTCTTTTATTATTGATGTAAAAGACCAAAACCACAATGAGCAAATAAAACCTAATTTAATTTGAGCCCATGCTGAGGTGTCTCTATTTTACAAAATGGAAACACGTAGTTTTGGTTTCTATTCATACCGAACATTTAACTAACATCTATTCTACGGCGACCGTCCGTCGATCATAGTACAGAACTAGAAGTACTAGAAGTAACATTTCTAAAAAAGAATTAAATTTACAAACTTGATAAACAATTCTCGAAACAATATTTCTAGATGTACTTGTACGTGTAGATTTCAAAAATGACATCACTTTGACTGAATTTTTAATAGTTAACGACGTAAATCAAATTTATTTCTACTCGCATCTATTTTATCAGATGAATATCAACCGGATTTTGGTGGATGAGTGAACATTGATTGGAAAGCAGGAGCTGAGAGGATTTCAACAAGAAACGTTGAAATAGATCGCCTAAGATGAACCATTTTGCCATATTTTTACCAACCCTATGAATGTTCTTTTGTATGAGATTCTCCAACTTTTAAGTTTCACGATTTTACAACTGGCTTGAACTGATTTTTAAACTAATTTAAAGATGCTATTTTACACATTACATTTACACCACTTCAAACTTCAAATTGATCTCTAAAATACATTTATATACAATGTCATATTAAGGAAAATCTAAAATAAATTTTGTAAATTACCAATGAACTTCATAATACTTGTCACATATAATGTAAGGCATAATATTATACACATTATGCAAAGATTTGAAGACGATTGATTGTTTTTTTTACTCAAAATACCACATGTAGAACATAAAATAAACCTAAATCACTGGTGTGACTTTAAACAAGTTTGTAACATCAAATTTACCTTATGATACCAAACTGACTAAAATCCGGCTGCCCGGTAAAACTAAGCGGACAAAAGTTTATATAAAATGCTAATTATGAGCAATCAGAATATGCTACAAGCTTGACAAATAATCTTGTTCGTGACAATTGTATATTTCATAAAATAAAGGTGTTGCTGAAATCTGTGTGATAACAATGCAAAAGTCCGTACACTTGGGTCTTAAAACACTGTTGCATTACTGTTCAGTATTGTGCTATATTTCCTTAATACTTACCCCTTTCCTGCCCAATTACATCAATTAGTATGATCTTGTGACTAATGTGTCGATTTGATTGTCTCATAGGGTTATCTTCTAGATATTCGTGATGTACATGTGATTTTGGTACTGAATCTATCCTATTTCCATTTTATATTGCAATAATTCTGAATCATAATGCATCGCCGTGATATATCAATGATAACATACAGTGCTTATTGTGATGACCTATTTCTGAATTCCTCAAAACTTTGAGCAGGAAAGATTTAAGAGTAGTATGTAACATGTTCAATGGATTTTAATAAAATGTATAAATACATTCAGAGAATATGTAACAACACAATCTGCTCATAATTATATTTTTATATAGAAAGACTCATTTACAAAGCAGTCTGGTTTTGGTAATCAGTTTGGTAATTTAATGTAAAGACGTCACCAACTTGTACAAAGCCAAAGTACTATGTTCTATATGTAATATTTTGAGTAATTGTAAATTGTCATCAATTTTTTACAGAATGCGTATGATATACCCTTAATTATGTCTGAAACGTTTCATCAAGTTAAAAAAAAGTTTACTTGCCATTTACTATAGTTATTTACGGTTTTCTCAAGAGGAAAATACTTTTGATACAGAGGATACCTGGTTTGTGTAGAATGAAAATGCCATTATAAGCTAGGGCAAGGTATTGATCAAATAATGAAAACGCATTAATCAAATTAATATCCGCGGCATCAAATTTGATCAGAAATTTTCAACAATGTAGAAACCAGGGCTTTTTATGAGATTAATGTCTGCATATAACATTTGGTGTACTCAAACAGCAAAGGACATAAAATCTCAAGTATATTGTACCAGCTTTATTTTTATTTTATGATTCCAAGCATTCCAAGCATATAATTAATTTTTTTGAGTATACAATCATAAAAAGGAGTGGCGAAAATTAAAAAATCTTAAAACATAATTGGTCTCCAGACAGAATTCGTGGAATTAATGTCAGGTTCTCATGATTTCCTGATCAAACCAATCGATATGATTCCGGGAATCGGTTCCAAAGCCCTATAAAAGCCCGTGTATTTATTGAACACCACCTTATCGGTTTCGAAGATCAAGGAAAACGACATAACTCAGAAAGACCTGGACTCAAGCCGATGATAAATATCTTATTTGGTAAGTAATTAATTGGACTGAAAGACAAAGTGATAAATAAGTACATATTAAATGTTGTAGTATTTTTGTTGTTTGATATTTCTGTCTAATTGTTAAGTAATGCTTTTTATAGACTTATGTTTTACATCGATCGTTTACATTGACGTGTCGCAAAAAGGTGGCGCATTTGTTTTTAAGGGTATCGCGTGAATGTAACTTTGATTCCCCGGATTATAAAATAGTATTCTAATTAAAGTTATATATCATTTTAAAGCTGTTTCGATGAGGTTTTTAGATCATCTACACTCCGTTCACAATTCTTGCGCGTTCTTTTTTACCAAAACATCTGGCAAATATCCCCTGTTGACAAGTTACATTTTGAATTATTTTTTGAATTTTAGTTAGCGTCCCATATTGTGACGTCATAGAGTTTGAAAAACAGAATATGTTGACAGCGACCTTTTTTGCTCATTTTTTGTTACCTTCAACATTTTACATTAAACAAAAAATACGAGATCAATTTTTAATAAATCATACATGATTATTTTGCTCTTAAACTCTAGTTTATTAATAAATAGTTGATTTTGTTCGCAAAAGTATGTGTTTTCTGTTGTATGTGGAAAAGTGGAGGACGAAAGGTTTTCAAAATTCATTAAAATAGGGCTAATTTACGCCATTCGCCTATTTTCAAGCACAGCAACACTTATATTTATTTCACCTAAAAAATCAATTGATTCGTGTTTTATGATGCTCCTAGCCCATTAACAATATATATATGATATCAGAGTTATTCGTCTAAAATGTTTTGAGATATAGAGGTAAATGTGGAGGACGAAAGGATTTTCATGTGTGTACATTTTTCTCAAAAACGTCACATTCTATCATGTTAAAAGCGAGGATCCTCTGGATTACGCCACAAAATGTGTAACAATGCGTGCGCGACCTTTTTGCGACACGTCATTACGATTAGATATCAATGAATAATGTAACAAATAAATCGTATTTACTCTAGATGTCACTTCATAATATAAAAAAACTTCACTGAAATCTCAATACAGCATGCGACAATTAAATGTAGCGGTATATTAACTTACAGTTAAACTTACTTACAGTCAATACATTGTATGGTTATTTAACGTACCATTGTACTGCATTACAGGCTAATTTTGATGAGCATGGCTTTCATAAATTTTTGTTTATACGCAACTGCTCTAAATAACATACCAATTTAGATGATAATGTATTATTTAAATTGGCAATTTCTTTTCACAGTGCGAATGAATTGTTTGTAACTGGGTAGAAATGAAGTACCACGTTATCCTTTTGATTGCCTTGGTGTCTGCTGCGGTGCTGTTGGACAGTTCTGATGCGTGGAGATTAAGGGTACGGTTCCGACGTGTATGGAGGGTAGTTAAAGCCCCGATATGCAGGTGAGGAGCTTAATAAGTGACCCCTCACTTTTAATAAGAAATATTTAGCCAAAATAAGCCATATTCTGGCCTAGGGCAGTAGGTCCTGAAAGTAGATATATAATATTGGCCAAGGGTTAATTCTAACATCTTTAACCGACTATTTTGTTTATCCCACAAACATCTTGGTCATCTGGTTCACATTATTCAATTCAGATAGTGTTCTAACAACCGTAGTAATTATTTTAGAATCTTTTTGTTGAGACTTGTTTCCTTGGTCGTGGCTGGATGGATTTTTCTAATTTTCAGATATTCATCTAGTGCATTTATTTTCTCGCATCTTTGATTATAAGCAGGAACAGTAATTTAAAATAATGGGATCAACCAAATATAATATGCTTCTTTCAGATGGGCAGTTTCAAAGGTGTGTAGGGTTGTTGGCTGTACATATGCGGGTCCATATGGCTGTGTAGTTGCTAGATATGGTTGTTCCTGGGCAAGCAGAAAAGTTTGCGGTAGAAGAAGGAGACGGGAATTAGTCGAGGTATGCACAAATTATTTAACTTTAATGTTTGCAGGGTGAGGGGGTCAATTTTTGGTGCCTCTGTTATTGTTTAACCTTTAGCCACAATTACATGACATAAGAAATTTGGGGTAGAGGGGCGATATTTTCGAAGAAGGAAGTTAATGCCAGCAAATGAAAATCATGAGATAGTTACCTTGTTTCTAATGCTATAGAGATAACACGTTCATAATTGTTGCTCTTTTTAGTATATTTGTTCTTTCCAACATGCTTTAATTCATGAAAATCGAGCTTCTACTGTATAGTCTTATGAATGTTAAAAGGTAAAATACAGTTCATAGACAAAAAAATCGCAAATCGCGTTCTCTTCACAAATTTGAGAACAGTTTCTTCTCCAAAACTACTTGATAAGTACCCTTGGATTTTTTGCATGTTATTGCATGTTTATGTAAATTGAGACATCAGAATTATAATCAAAACCTTCTCCTGTTAGATATAATTTTCTTATTTTCTCCCAATCCCAAGTTTTCAACATTCCTTTGTTATGTGGTTGCTAGGCATAACATGGCCGAAATTATGTTAGAATATTACTAAGTCAAGAATTTATCCTTTTTCTAAATCGCTGATTGTTATTTGCAGTACATCTTGATATATGATAATCGAGGATAAATTATTATCAATTATTAGATTATTCAGATTATTCAATTAAGCTTTTCGTGGTTCGCTCTTTAATCGAGAAGGTACGAAAATATATACTTACAAGGCCCTAAAAAAGGACAACATTTAATTGGTCAATATTTTACAACGATACATTTTGCGTAGCTTTTTGCGTTTTAAATCAAACAAACTACGCAGTTTTATACAACCGCACGCTAAACAAAGCAGAGACACCATCGGAAGTACTGTACTTTGACATTGCGTTAATGGTCAGTTTACCGATTATAATAAAAAAAAAGCTTGTACAATGAACAATAAATTCGGAATCGAGTACTATAGATATGCTTTCGGACACTGAACCGATTAACCTAGATAATAGCGACATGTCTTCTTTGGCCAACCGCTCAGTTGTTTGTGCATGGGTTTTCAACGTAACTCTATAATGCAATTTGAAGATGAGTGCTTTTATTCTGTTGTTGCGTCGATGTTGCAGTTTGTAGTGCGGTAAGATCGGAATGAAAGTGTTGAAAGTCGAATGAAATTATTTTTTCCAATATGGCGACTAGTCAACTAATCACGTGACCTTTTCTTCCGGAATATTTTCTCACTTTTCAATCATCGTTTTCATCCCACCAAGGATCAAAACAATGAAAAAATATATGTTATACCATATGGTATTAAGATTAATAGGAGATTAATCGTTTTTGAGAATTTTCCCGTACTCCCGTAAGGAAATATGAACGAGTATATCAATTGAAAAATAGGTGTGAAAATCCCCATATTAAACCTATGGGGAAAACAAGGAAGTATGAATTTGTTCATCCGCGAACTGCATCATGGGAAATATTTTGACCTTATAAGGAAAATCTTTCGCGTCTCCTCTTTTGGAGAGGGAACAACGGATACGATAATTAGGCGTTCCATTGATTTCAATGGGTTCTCGCGATACGTGCTATCTTGTTAAGTGCAAAACTTCAGTCATAGAAAACCAAAAATCTTTATTTTGAAAAATTCATTTTCAAAAAACGTCAACAATACCAATATTAAAATTGGATCATGGACCACTAACCTTTTGATAAGAGTCAGTGCCCATTGTGTGGTTTAAGTTAGATAAACAATTCGTCTTGGGTCTTGGTTATCCATTTCATAACGGTGATTGTAGGATACTTTGGAGAAAGGTGACCACCTCATCCCATTACCAGCTCTCTTTGAAACTTATGACCTGGATAACGACGAGCAAATTTCTGTACAAGAGTTGGCTCTAGCTACGGGGATGGACGAACTTGAGACACTTAATGTGGTGTTCCCGTTATGTGACGACGATGGTACGTATATGTTACACCAAGCATCGGATTGGTCCACACACAACATGAGGGAATAATTTTCAATTTACAGAATGATCAATTATTATCAACATCAAATCTACAAACTAAAAAATAGTATTTACGTATTCATCCCATATATTTTGAAAATGAGAATAATTAATCGGGAGATTGTCTTTAACCTTCGTAATTTGGTTTTGAAGATTGATTTGTAAAGATACATTTGTCGTCCATTGTTTGTTTTTGAGAGAAGTTGGTTAGTTGAACCACTTAATAAACTTGAAACATTAATTATACACCATCAATTTTGACTGTTTATAATGTTTTCGCATCAGCCCATAGCGCAGAATTCCATTATTTGTATCCATTAACAATGGAATTATTGTGTGCAGCAACACTGAGGGTGGTTGCCCGAGTTCTTAGCAAGGAACGACTTAATATAATCTAGAGTACATACACAGTACAACAGAATATAGGTTAGTCTCAACTATTTTCAAGAAATTATATCGTTTGGTTCCAGGTGACGGCTTCCTGTCTCACGATGAGTTTATTAATTCCCCACTCATCTTTGAAGACCCTGAAGACATCGAAATGGGTAAGTATAATAACTTTGGGCATTGTCATTCCAGTATCAGAACAGTGTACACGACCTTGACCAATCAGAACAGTACTTGACCATTTAAAGTTAGCAAGAGATTCTGCCAGTCTATACAACGATTTCAAATCATCCTTTCGAGAAGTATGACAAGTTTGGACATTATCATTCGAGTATCTTGGCTGACCAGAACATTGCTTGACTGTTCGTTAAAATTCAGCAAAACTTCCAAGTCTATACAACGATTTCAAATAAGCATTTCGATCGGTTTTGGCCAAGGACAATTGATCCGATCAATAAGGGGCAATACTGAATTCATGTATTAATATGAGGTTTAATTGTGCATCTAATTTCATTTCATTATTACTTAAAATGTACGTTATTCTGAATAAAACGGGCTGTCAAATTCTGATAGAACGAGTCATGTAGTTAAGTAATTTTAGATAGCGTTTACCTTTTGGATGAATCTTGGAAAATCTGTTAGAAATTTTCTGTTTATTGAACTTCCAAAGAGAATCAATTAATAATTTTCCACATGTGAGCAACGCTGTAAAATCTTGGACTTATAAATTACATCTACGTAATGCTTTTAATCGATTTAATTTTTTTCAGAACGCAAAGAGGTGGCTGAAGAAATGAAAAAGAAAACAGACGCTGAAACATCAGATACAGAGGGATCCGGAAACACGTCTGCTAAATCTGCAGAAGATGGTGGTGAACGTGCCGTGGATAAGTCAAAAGCCTCCGATGAAGACGGGGCGCCAAAGAACCAACAAGAGATGTAACATATATGACAAGCTTGAGACGAATCTTCTCCAGTCATATTTCATATAACTGTATTTTGCGAAATAGCCCTTAAAACATTTTTCTTTTCGTAATAGGCAATCTGAATAGTATGCATTCCGTAATAATTACACGACGTAAAATCGAAATGACTTCATGGTGTATATCTACAATTTTGGCCAACATGTTCGTACTTGATCACTTTATAACCAAGGGAAAGTCATTTACACTGTATTAAAAACTTTTACACAGCCTGTTTTACACTTAGGTCAAAATTATAGATACTGCATCGCCTATTTGTACGCTTGGTTACGTGTACGGAATCACTTGATTATTATAAGAAGATCTAATTATAAACCAAAACAAGATTAAGTTTACAATTAAAGCTTGCAATTTATAATATTGATTGTGACAACATTGTATATACATATTATTATAAAATCGGACGTTTTCAAATAATTAACTATTGGCTAGGGAACAGTTATTAGAACCCTTATTTCCCTAAAGGAGCACGTAGGTTATCGCAAACAATTTCAAACGATACTAACTTGAATTATGAATATTTTCTGATCATGAACATGGATGTATCTCTTAGGTCCCTCCAATGCCTTCAAGACAAGTATATATAATGATAATTAAGTTAATCAGACCTAAGTGATATTGATGGGGCAATGGACCAATCAACATACTTTTACAAAAATATTGACCTTTTATTATATTGATGAATGTATAATTAGATTGCTCTGAGACATGTTCGATTTCCTAAAAGGAAAAATCCATTGCTCCAGGGACTTTAAGGATATTGAATTTGGATGACCAAAATGAACCGACAACAATGGATAGCATGAGGTTTTTCAATGGAGAAATAACATGGGGAACACTTATCTTAAAGCAATTAAGTTTTTCTTTCAAGACATATCTGATATATTAAAATAAAGAATAGTAATGCATTAAACAATGTAAAAAATTATTGCAATTTTGGTGAAGGTCAACAACTTTGAAAAGTGTGTTGATGGTTTGATTTCTGGTTAAATATCTCCGAGTTTTTTTTTACTTTATTATTACTGTAAACAATTTTCTTTCATATAATGAATGGATCTAAAAGATATACCTGTCTTCATTGTCAGAAAATATTCATAATCCAAGATATAACCGTCTGAAATTGTTTGCAATAAGCTACTTGCTCCTTTGGTCACTGCAGATCAATCGAATTCTCGTTCTAGCTGGGTAAAAAGCGTGTATTTGATTTATAATTGTGACTCATATTGGCCTTAAAAAGAAGACAGCAAGAGATTTATGTATCTCAATTCACGGGAAAAATCTAGCTTAAGTCGCTTTAAAATTGTTCCATAATACTTAAACTGTATCCTAGAACTTATTAATAAATAGTATGAATAAAATTCATTATAGAAAAAACAAATTCAATGCTTTCGTTATTAGATTTAAATCATTCGTATTGGTTTTTATAATGTCATCACCAGAAGTGGTGACATTATGTCTTTATCTCCAACTTCTTTGTGGACAGTGTTCGGTGGCTGATTTTCGACGTTCAGCGGTTGATGTTTGGTGGTCGACGTTCGGCGTCTGTAACCAATTCTTACAAGTTCCTGTAACTTAACTACTGTTAATATCGACTTCAACTGATGTCAACGATATATAATAATAATAAGTTCCAACAAATTTCAAATGTTCAAATTTCTTATAATCAACTATCGATTCACAGAAATTCAAACCTGACTTTAGATTTCATTATTGTTCTTATCAATTTGCACAGCAAAATAAGTGAACCAAATCACTGAACACAGGATTCATACAGGATTCGCTGTTCAAATGAACGCTGCCTTCATGATCATGATCTATGAGGTGGCGCCAAGGGTGCGCGCTCCCTTAGTGTTAAATTTTTTTAGAAACGAACAAAAGTCGACCTGAAGTCATTCATATTCTTTTGTATTGGGAAAATGCTCAGATTGCCAAAAACTGCGCTCTATTTTGAAAAGTTTTCGAGTTGAATGAAGGTCAAGGATAGACCAAATTAACATATCAAAATAAACATTGTAGTAGACTGTAGTAAATCTAGCCTGCCTTGCCCAAGTCGGTCTCTTTTACTTATCTTGATTTCTATTATGACCGCCTTGTACCAAAGAGAAAGCCACGTGCTTTACCGACAGTTTGTTGAAGTCGGTAAAATTTGACCAATCAACGACGGCCCTGTAGCGTTAGCTCATTATTATGCACGGTCAAAAACAAGTACACTTTTCACCGGGACTTTTCACGAATAAATCTTGCACGAATCTGAGCACGAATTCATCATGAAAATACAAATATTTTATCAGATAAATATCAATGAGAGTTTAGTGGATGCCGGGGCATCGATCGGATAACCAAAGGTGAGAAGATTTCAACAATAAACGTTGAAACGATCGCTGAACATGTAGGCTGAGATTCAATCACCGATCAACGACAACATGTTACGACTAGGTCTTCGTGCATTTTCATCGCGAAATCAGTTTTAAATCAACATTGAATCGCATGATTTAATTAATATTAATGACTCTTACCTTCAAATGTACATTTAATAACGTAATATATTGTTACTATAACGAAACACTCGATCAGATCATGGAATTTCAAGTCGTAGATGGGAAGTTTGTTTTGTTTATGCAGCTCAACCTGATAACGTTTTGATTGGTCATTCAGCCTGAAGTCACACGTCGTGTTCACGCGATATCTGTCAATCAATAAGGTTTCGCGATACCCCTGATAGCGTATGTATTATGGAAATCTCGAAACCGTTGAATATTTCAGCATAATAACAGCGGAGATGTATTGGATTGTACAAGGCGGTAATGATTCAAGATCAGATAAGTAAAAAAATACCGACTTGGGCAAGGCTATAGTAAATCCTAAGGTCAAGAATCTCATTAGCTGTGTAATATTTATAAACACTAGCACTGGACCGTTTATCGATACCTGCAATCAACAGGTTGGGAATAACAGGTTGTTCTTTTAAGCTTTCACCACAAGACTAAGATGGATTGGAACTAAATTCACACAATAACCGACACCCATAACCACACAGTTTTGTGGTTCGCGATGTGAGGACTCCGTTCGCGAGTGGAGAAATATGTTTTGGAGGGAGCAATAGTAGTTCGCGACTAATGAATCAATATTCGCGTTGTTAAACCTTGGATCGCGAGGTCGGAACTTTCACCGTCATTGATTCATGTTGTTAAAGGAACATTATCATTGTTTAAATATAAATTGTTTATAGTGTATTTCTATGAAGTCAATTTAGGGTTAACTACTGATAGATAAATGCTTAAAATATTGATACAAATAGTATGTGTTTGTTTTGCATGATTAAATGTTGGCTGTCTTATTCAAAGTTGTGATTTATAAATATGAAGCTTCCAATTAATTGCTTTTATTGATTTTAATTGATCTGACTTTTAATTAATTTGTTTTAAGCTGTTCTCAAAAACTGTCCTCTAGTAATGGAGAGGTTTCACACAACGGTTAGCTAAAACGTATCCGCAACCATATCGTATATATGTTATCTTGTGAATGTGATACGGATTTTAAATACGTTGACAAGGAGGATTGGCTCCAAGAATGCATCGATATCCGATATCCGACCTTGACCTTGATCGACGACATCATTGAAAATGACTTAATTTTCCGATTTTATAATTAACTGACTATAAATTTATAATCAGCGATCCAAAAGATTTGAAGAAATATCTTGATCATTTTTTGATTGTTTTGTTTCGAAATAAGACAAAAACTCCCGACTCAAATTTTAAAGTGAAAAAATGGCGGACGTTTTGATTTTGAATTTTATAATCGTGACATGACCACGCGATAATGGGGTCAATGTCATAACACATATATGACAAGAATATCGACATTGCATTCTGGGAGTCAATCCTCCATATCACGTTGAGCTAAAAACGTTGTGCGAAATTTCGACTTTATATTGGACAATGGATACACAACGCGAAGCGCAACAGGCCAAATCAACGAGCACTCTCTTTCGTTACTTTTAGAACACGTCGAAATGAATCAGCGAAATAAAAACAATCTTGCATTTTCTTGTTTCTGCCAGAATTCAAATGGTTATGACAATGTAAAAAGTTATTGAAGTGATAGACGCGCTAGAATGGGAGATATGTGGTGGAATAGGTGTAGAATTCCCGTTTCTTCGAAACCGGCATTTGTTTGTTTGACCGAGAGGGTATTTAAATTCAAAATATATCAATTTCGAAGAAATCTATTCTAAGTATTAGTATTGAATCGATCAAATCCTTCAAATACACTGTTTGCGTATCTGAGGTAGAGGGCAGGGCTTACAGACAACTCATCCCCTAGACAACTCATCCCTGGACAACTCATCCCCTAGACAACTCATCCCCTGGACATCACATCCCCTGGACAACTCATCCCCTGGACATCTCATCCCCTAGACAACTCATCCCCTGGACAACTCATCCCCAAGACAACTCATCCCCTAGACAACTCATCCTTTATCACATGAAGTCAAATTACTTTATTAAATACACCTTGAATCATTCTAAATATTATTTTTCACTTTATTGACACAAATTAAATGGTCAAACGGTGCCATTAAAACTTTCATATTTTGTCCTTATATTACATGACTTAATACTTCATAACAAAAAATATGCATAATTTTGAAACATGAACTTCAGTAACTTCATCTGTGACTGCTGTGAAAAAAGTATCTTTGGATGAAAGAATATTTGAACTATGAACAACACACATATAATCACATCAAAGGAGCTTATGACATCAAAGGAGCTTCTTCAATCAATGTTAATTTAATATTGAAATTGTATATTAAAAATAAAATTAAAGGTAAATATTTACAAAACAAATTACAGATTAATACCATAGTAATAATATCGTATATATTGTTTTTTAAACAATTTTTCAGATTTCCCCTCCAGAAAGTCTTTGTTTACTTGTCAGTCAGAAGACAACA